AGGGCTGTGAAGTATGGCGCGTTCCAAGTGGATAAAACGGAATACAGTGATACGGAGAGGAGCGCTAAATTGGACTTTAAAACCCTCCATCCTTTGCCCAAACATCTGCACAAATCTGCCGGAAAGCGCAAAGTTGTCCTGAAGATAAATACTGGCAAAGATGTGAGACAGGGACTGGAAGAATTCTTGAAAACGGCATTCACTGCCGCTGCCTGTGCGAAATTCATGGAGTAGAAGAAGATACTTGCGGTTTATTGTGGCTACGCGTGTTGTTGCGGTGGGGAAAACTTACTCTCTTAACACGATGGTTTTTGTTTACACTTCTTTTTTGCTGCTATGTTATGTATGATCTCTGATAAACTGCTGATTTACTGCTGTTAGCATCTCCCCATGACGTGGATCAATGGAACAGCGATCTTTGTAGCTTTATAAGCGCCCAGGTCGTTGTCATGAACATTCCATTTAGTATTGTTAATTATTTTGTCTTTTGGACTACTTTTATGTTGTCTGCTCAAGCTACCGGAACGTGCCATGATTGTCCAGGCTACATGCTTCAATGTTTTCTTAAAGTACTCAAAATATTTAAATGTTTTCACTCAGCATACTGGCTTTTTGTTGATGTTCTGGTAAAATTGTTTTTGTGGATCATGAATCATACTACGCAGAACTGGTAAATCGTTTACGCGGTAGACAGTTTTATCGGTTTACGTTCACTCACCAAAAGCAGTCTAATAGGCAGTGAATTTCGAGAGATCACTTCGAGAGACTTTATCCGGCGCGTTACAGGAAAAACATTAGGAACAATTTTAATGTAAGACGGTATGGATGGGGTCAGAAAACACCCGCCATTTCACAACCTCGGCCATTAGATGTGTAACTGAACAACACTACTGTTCCATAATATTATGCAAGGAAAATTTGCTATACAAATGGAGAGTAAGCGCTTGACTGCGCAACTGATGGCAGGCGGCGAACGATTTCTTTTGGTTCGCGAGTCCAGATTGGCATCCGGCAGTCTGTTAGCTTGAGTAGGACGAACAGGCAGTTGCGCGACCATCGCAGATGCTCCAAAATGGGACTTTTGAAATCTCCCAGTTACCATGCTTAAATCCGCAGTAAAAACACCTGACAACCGTGCCGTGTCCGGAATAAAAAAACCCGGCTTCCGCAAATACACGAGGTTGTTTCTTCGCTACCACCATGGGCCATCGCCGAAAACTTTTCAGCTGGCTGAATAAGTTTTGAAAAGAAGGAAAAGCAGGCGCCCTGGGTGTGATAGGTAAAGATAATTGCCGATCAGGGTACAGTTTGCGCAGCTCGGCGCAGTCGGGGTATTATTCAACTTGGTAATTGCTAGGACTTTCCTGCTCAGTTATCCCACATCTTCTCGTCTGCAATATACACATATATGAGCGTCTAGCAGGTTAACTGGCACGAAACCATGAGTGCCAGGCTGTTTAATGGGACGATCAATGCAAATATCGGGCCAAACAATCTGTAAGTATGGGTCATCCTTTTGCTAAAGCAATGGAAAGAAGTCACTCGACATCGACATTTCAAGTATGTCTACCTAGCAGCTAACTTCTACTTCTCTAAGCCCCTTTATAGCTATTGTGCTAGCGTGCGACGCGCGCCTTATATATATACATTCTACAAAAGAGATGCTATTATTCAGCTATGAAAGATGTTACCGAATGATAATGATGTCAAGCTCAAACAGCAGCCGGACGTACATGAAATGTCGATTTTGTTAACTGTAAATCAAGAATATTCACTCGCTCTAGGGTTTTTTATTACGCTTTTCTCTACTAACAGCAGATTTACACACACGCATGATAAGGAAAGTAAAAAAGTAAAATAAGAGTAAAAAAGGCCATAATTTGCAAGGACTATTAGGTGCGTCAGACGACACCGCACTAATAAGAAACAAACCGAAACATTTTCTTTAAAAACAACAATACTACCACTGACTTATTTTGACACCTGTACACACCGACACATGTTAACCAGTAGACACGGACAATACCACCGACACGAACAACTTGAATACGCTCCTGTTGTTGCTTCTTACTCTTATTGGTCTGAGCTAGCTGTTGAGGGTGGTGGAGGGGGTGGTGTACCTGGACTGGTTACTGCTGTTGTTGTTGTTGTTGTTGTTGGAGGTGTCGCTGCGGGCGTTGTAGGCGATAGGGGAGAATTCTCGGTTAAAGATTTAGCGTATTTTGGCATACGGCGGTCTGTTAAATTCAATAGCACGTAGAGACAACTGGGGGCCCAACGAAGATGCTCTAACAGTGGTACATCGGAGTCAATCCATCCGCTGATCTTAATTCCGAAATAAAAACACTCCACGATATCACCTCGCCCGCAATAGTGGAATCCAGCGTGTGCCAGTTCATAGGGAGACTTTTGAACTTGGACTGGCCAGTGAGAAAAACTACGTAAACGGTCGTCTAAATTCTGAAAAGCGGGAAACTCCGGCAGCCTTAGCTCAACTGGGTGGTGATCCTCATCATCGGCATCGTCGTCCACACATGTCCCGCAGGTACTCGCAATCGGGATATTTATTAATGTGATGAAGGTGAGGATTATCTTCCGCAGTTAATCCGACATCAATGCGCCCGCAATAAGCGCACAAATAAGATTCCAGGAGGTTTATGGGTGTGAAGCCATTTAGTAATAATTTTTTAGCCGCTTCATCATTAACTCCTGGCCAAACAAGCTGCAGGGGAGGCTCAGTTTCCTGCCGAATCAAAGGATTGAAGTCTGACATTTTTAGAAAGCTGCTGCTATTCCTGTTAAACGAAAAGGTGGAACAACAAGTCAACAGCAATCCGTTCCTGCAAAGCGACATCAACATAAGCGAAAGCTCATCATCCCGCACAGTGGAAAGACGAAGAAAAAGATATACCGAAAAATGCTAAAGTCCAAATCCAGTGGTCACAGTAACACCGGCTTTGTAGATGACGATGATGATGATGATGACGGTTGTGGTGATAACGGTACGAATGCCAAGAATGTGGACTACGGAGTGGATACTAGTGATAGCATCGATAATGTTTCAACTAGAGCACATTATGGTACTGATATCGAAGATGATGATGACGATGAGGGCGAAGAAGACGGTGAAGTGTGTGAGATAGTGACGACGAAATGATGCTTGCAGTGTGTGCGTGTATGAGTTTGTTTGTGCATTTTGTGCAGTATGAAATGAATCAGGGGAAACGACCATATGGTCAATAAAATGTCGAACAGAATTTTAACACTGATCTGTTTTATTCACGCGTTTTATGACACAGTACAAGCACAACGTCATTACACCAACAAACAGACACACAGTAGGCAAAAAACATTTTTGTTATGATCTAAACCGAAACAAGGAAGTAACAATAGTTATGCATGACTGATAAGATTTCCCAGGCCGGATCCGTCCTTGCCGATGCCGTTTTTGTTACGTTTTCTCTTTCCTTTTTCAGCAGTCAGTTTTCTTTTGCTCTGGCTTCGACTTTTCTTGGATTTGTTACTGCTCTTGTGACAATTTAAACCACCTCCACCGCCGCTGCCGCTACCACCGCCTCTACCTTTTACTCTTCGCGTCATAACCATCTTTGATCCGGTGGCCGTCAGGTGTTTTACTGGGACAAGCGCAAATTCCTCCATGGACGTTGTGTTTATAGCATAAACGCGCTGGTATTGGTCACCGACCTCTTCGTTTAAAATGCTGCCTCGTACACGTAGTACATCTGGCGTACAGGACTTGAAGTCTAAGAATAAATACCCGTAATCAGTAGCAGTCGCAGCTTTATATGCGTCCATAAAAAAAATGAGCTACGAGGATACATTTGACGCGCAAGGATTTCAATTTGCAGCACATCGCGAGGTTGTTTCCATAACACTAGATAATGTGCATTCAGGGAATTTGTCCTCATAAGTGGAATCTGATAAAAGACATTTTGCACTGTCAAAATTACTGAGCGATTAAGATGGTGGGTACCGCGAGTAAATAATGACACTACGTCTTTATTTATGTTCTGCATCTGATCATCCAAAATAATCAGGAACGGCTCGCATTTATTAGTAAAGCTTTCCTCAGCAATATCACCAGGAATATCTTTAATAAAAACAATATTTTTTGTGTGACGTTTTATAGCTTTGAAAATGGGCGATTCGTAAGAAAAGATGAAATAATTTTTTTTTGGGAAACGGGGTGATCCTGCGCATTTCCAGTAGCCGCGAAATCCAGTAGGTTTTACCGCCCTGACTTTGGCAGCTACATACTAAATTGAATGGATGAACGAGCAGCAGTTCAAAAGTGAACTGCTGAAACATTTTTTTAACAATAGTAATTGCAAAAGCAATAACAACAACAACAACAACAAAAGATGCAAACAATCGATAAAAGGTAAAGATGTGTGGCTTTTATACTGCTGACGCAGGCGGACGGTAGCCAAAGGGCAGGGTACGGAAATCCTCCATTATTCTACGCTTGTCAAAAGTAAAACGAATGGCCTTGCGTTGCTCATTTGATTTTAGCTGCCATTTCTCCTTGATTCGACAAATCTTGTAAGGATTCACTGAATGGCTGACCAGTTTTGGATCTCGCACCATCTTCTCAAGCGTTTCCGTAGTAAACAAACTTTTGTTGCCCTGGTTTATGCTAATTCCCTTCATTTTAAAAACCTGCCAGCCGTTGCGCGTTTGGTAGGCATACATTTTGGGCCCACCGCACACAAAAACAATGATTTGGTCATCGCCTATTCCCGATTTGAATTCCCCCAGACACTCACCGACCGGTAGGCTTTGCAAATTCTGTTCTTCAATAGCAATTACGCAGTCAGTGTCAAAATACAAAAGTCGTTCAATTTCCACAAACGCTATTCCTGTATATAATTCTAGGCGTGCGTAACTCGTCACAAAGCTGGCAATGACCACGTTGGCATGTAGATCTGATCCGTCAACATCGCATGTAAAACTGCTTTGCACCTGCAGCACATCGTTACTTACAATATCCACATAGGAGACATTGTATTGCCGGAATAGAAAAGGTCATTGAAACGCTTGGTATCTTTAACGTACTCAAAGCGCGATTTGTTTTCTTTGATTGCCAGCCTTCCCCAGAATGTGTTAAGCATCAGCTTAGAAAGCAAACGCTTTGTTAGATTGTTTTCAACTCGGCCCGGATCGACCACAACGCCATCGCGATCGTACAGCAGCTGCAAATAATTTCTTTTGTCTTCGTCACTGACGCAGTTGGCGGGATACCCGCTGGCCGCCGCTTTTTCAGTCATGAATGTACTGATGTAATGAGAGTACAGATCGCCTTGGCGGGCATAATGCCATATCTCATGGACTTTAATCAGAGTGTAGCCCATAGACAGCGCCAGCGCTAACTCGGGTATCATATACACTCCATTGAAGCATCTCTGTTCGTCGGTGTGCCAGCATACTGCTTCCTGATTGTTTTGCTCAGCGCAGCGCCAACAAAGCGTAAACACGCATTTATGATTGATCCGTTGTAACAAAACAGGCAGCGGCAAACTTGCGGGTGGCAAAACGCGAACATGCGCGATCCCAAAATATTCATCTATTGGCTTAAAGTGCCAAAGGATCTTTTCAGGAATACCCAGCGGGTAACACTTCTGTTTGCACACAGCGGGATATAGGCAGTTTTTGTCCAAATATGATATATATTCACCCTTCGATGAGTCAGGCATAGCTAACAATCGAAAAGCTTCTGTCCGCCCGCCGAAAAGTGCATCTCTGATGTTCATCGGAGGGACATGGCTAAAATCGCCGAGCGCCTGCTGGAACGCCTGCTGATGCTGTCGCTTATACTGGAGCCATTGATAGCTCCAGATGGAACGGTAAACTAATCCACGAGATTCTAAATATTTCTGCTTATGCATGGTTGAATGAAACAGCTGCGCCATCGATTGGCCGCCATATGTTTTGGCATCCTTAGTGTAGCATGCTGGGCAACCATGAAAATAGCACCCGTGATACTCAAATACTTCATTATTCACTTCATCAAATCCATCCACAAAGAAGCGCCCAATCTGCTTTTCCCCTTCTGGGTGGTTGCGGCCGTGTCGTATCGACTTCTTTTCTGACTTTGCCACATAATGCAACCATTCCAGGCTTTCAAAAGGGTAGGATCGATGAGGGTGAAGGTCACGGTAGGTGAAAAATTGAATACTGTCAGCGGGCATGAAGCGCGCTCGAAACACGGTATTGGCGAAGCTCGGTAAGGAAACGGAATGGCCGAGCGGATTGTAACCGCCAGATAGAGCAGCCATGCTAGTGCAGAAACGCTGACAGGCTTCTCGAAGAATACGGCAATCGTTAACGCAGTACTCTTTCTCAAATATCCAACGTTTCTTTTGCTGCCGCGCCTCCTCGTCGTACCATTTCTTGAAGGCGGTGTAGTCTTTACACTTCATTTGCGAGCAGAGGTAGTAATGTTCCTCAGGAATTCTCCCGCGAATAATTAAAATTCTCAAACCTCGCAAACAAAAAAGGAAAACAGCCTTTTGCCGCTGGAAATCCGAATGCAGCCGGCATTTCACTAAGGCTCATGGGTAGGAAGGCCAAAGAGTCTCGCAAAGTTATTTTAAATTTGGGCACCTGCAATAATAAATAATTAAAGCCAGTGAACAGCACAAGCAACTACGACAACAACAACAACAACAACAACAACACTAATAAATCGGAGGGGGAGGGTCTTACATAAATCTAAAGAAATTTTAATCCCCGCATGATGACCTGTGGCCATGTACGTTTCTCATGCAAAAACTGCATTATAAAGTTTTCGTCATATCCCATTAAATTATGGAAGATAACAATATAGTTGGTATGAGAGCGCGCGAACAGCCAACTACAGAACTGGGCACCGGCTTTCGGCCCAAAAAAGGAAGTTGCGGCCCCGTCACCATCCACAGCAGCAGCTGCAATTGGAACATGCTGATCCCCGCTAATGTCCGCTTCAAAGTCGCAATACAAAAATGGTCTCGCAGGTTTCGGTGCTTCTTTGTGCACTTGTACAAAGCATCGGTGGTGTTTTCCGACAACCATCTTGCAGTTTTTGCAGTAATATTCCCCACAGCAATGTACGGGATTTTCGATATGCCCTTTTTTATTTGCGCTGGTGATCAGACCGCAGTCCAAACACTTCTGCCTGATCTGACAGTCTGTCAATCCGGTTGCACCGTCTATGACTCTTGAAAGATGACGAGCAAAACAATCTTCGTTCTGGAAAGCGCGATTACACAAGCTGCATATTTTTTCCACTTGGAAAGTACAACTCGGGCGCTGACAATTCGGGCACACCTTTGGACAGTGGTGCGCTGCACCAAGGCTATAGCAAAACCTTTTGCAGTGTTGGCACTGCTTAGCCTTGCCGAAGAAGCGAGCTGGTTTTGTTATAGCAGCATAGTGATTATCTGACAGGAACAGATAAACGTCTTTGCTTGAAGAGGTAAGCGGGCGTTGCAACTCTCGGTCTTCACTTCCCGAATAAACCAGCCCGCTTTCATTGTCGGGCGCTTTATAAATTTTTAGGCAGTAGTTAGGGGCGAGATTCTGGAAGACTCTATATTCGGCAAATGTAACTGCCCCAAGCGGCACCATGGCATGCTGGTACAACTTTATAGCTTCAGTTTTTTGAAGTGCTTTTCTTGTATCACACAGCTGCTTCCATTTGCTTTTGTCTTTTACGGGGAGCTTGTTGACAAATGCCAGTGATACCAGGGCACGCCCGAAACATAGCATATCGTTATTGCGGACATTAATTATCCCGCCGCCATAAGGTGTTCGAATTAGATTGTTTAAGTGTTTTGGAGAACCGCCACCCTTCGCCCTGCTGCTACTTGTAGCTGCCTCATTGTTATCGCTGCCTCCAGATGGGCGTTTTGGTACGCGCGTAAGGTTAATATACACAGGCCAATCAAGGGAAAATTCGGATTTCGAGGTAAGCGCGTTGGCAATGAGGTAGAGAAACATTTCTGCATTAACTTGGTCATGCGCGGCCAAACGCATCTGAATGGGGTGTGATAGCTGGCTGGATTCGAGCGACACACTAATAAGATCGTCCTTATTCGGGACATAATTGCGAAGATTACTGAATAAATCCTCCACTATTGACAACAAAATAGGCAAGATTGTATCGATTCCTTGTAGTGGTAGGGTATCAATTTTTAACTGAAAATTTCCCGCCCAGACATTGAACTTTTTGCTATGCCGCGATGTTATGGATTTGAGGGCGTAAAACTGCCTGGGATGCTTTATCATGTCCAAAGTGGCCCCGTCTGTTTGTTGTTCTTCTTCCTCAAAATCATCGTCTTTTTTATCGTTGGCGTTGCTTATAGTAGCTGGTTTTGCTTCTTTTTTAGTGCCACTACTACTACTGCTGCCCCTGCCGCTACCACCATCATTACCACGTCCACCAGTCAGGTTTTTTAATTGTTGGTAAAATAATTTGTACGAGAACGCAATGACGCGTTTGCCGAAATAAAAGTGATGCAAGCTTGAACATTTCTGCATTTGTTGTAGAGCTTTTGTAGCTTTGCTTCTCCCATCGAATCCTTTGTCGTTGTCGTGATTGGTGGTCGATGCGGCGTGTTCCGTTGCGTCGCCGCTGTTGCAGCTACTGGTCTTACTGGCGCGGTCATCCGGAGTTTGCTGGTGCTTTTGCTGCTGCTGCTGCTGCTGGTGGTTCTGTTGCTGCGGATGGTTATCATTTTAATTAACACAGATGGCTGCTGATGACGAGGATGCTGTTTTAGTAGCAGTGGTATTGTTTTGACAACAGGCGTTAATGCTGAAGCTAAAGCTGTTAACAAGTAACTTAAACAGCAGTGTCATGATGATCGCTCGTTAGCGACCGAAGACCAGATTGTGAGCACAGCCTAACTCTGCGGGGTTACATGCATCCGCAAGCTTATTTATATACAAAGCCACAACAAAGCACAGTTCGTACGATCATACGCTACTAATACAACACTGCACCCTGCGGTGCATCGTCAGTGGAGGGAGGAGTGGATTCTCTTCTCAGGAGGGGTTCTCGCTATTGTGTACCAAGTGCTTTATTATTTGTATATAAACAACTGTATTGAACCCAGTGACCAGTCTACTCATTGCGCTGCAGCTGCTCATTTTTACCATTTTAATTATGGCTTCAACAGCTGTAACACAGACCAGGGAAGCGACAGTTGTTGAACGAGCTGATAATGATAATGCCACCAATCTCGATGAATGGCACTTGTCATCAGAAGCGGCTGATACTGCTACAACCGCTGCTGCTGCTTCTGATTCGATAGCTGCTGCTGACCTGGATGTTTATCCTCCCGCCCCTGCCGCTGTTTGTCCTCTGTATCAGCAGCATAAAGAAGCTTTTCTACTCATGTTCCGCACATCCGACTGGAAACGGTTTGTCCTTGCATCATGGGGATACAATTTCAACGGCACTGTGCGCTGCAATCGCTGCAAAAAAAGAAGTATACTGGCGCGATACAGCTGCTATAATTCATCATTTTGAGCGAAAATGCCAGGATCTGAAAGATTACTCGCAAACCGACCCGGATCCCGTAGAGTGGGGCGCCCGACGCCGACGTACCTACAAGAGCCGGCGCAGGACATTTGATAACGCAGAACTGCCTGATCTAAACGATATCGAATTTCTCCTGGCCCACGGCTTCCATCCCACCAACATTATACAATCCGCGCACCCTAAATGCAATTGGACGGGCAAGTGGGAGGAAATACAGTGCTCGGAATATTTAAAAAACTACAGCCATGCTCGCGTACATTGCTACCAAATGCATCATCCATACGATAAGAGACCGCCAAAAAGGTTTTGCGAAAATATGCTTTTATATGATGATTATGAATAAAACGTTTTAGTACGCAAGTTGTGCTTTATTTCATGTTTTCGTAATTAAAAATAGAAACAAAAATAAAAACAATATATCAGAATGTTAAACATATCTAAAACGTTGCGTCTGTTGTAAATTTCCGCATTACTTCGCCGCTCTGTCCAACATGAGCCTTGCGGTATTCGGAGACTCGTCTTTCGAAAAAATTGGTTTTTCCCTCTAGTGAAATAGTTTCCATGTAGGGCAGGGGGCTTTCCACTTTAAAATACGGCTCCATTTCTAACATTTTCAGTAGGACGTTAGCAACGAACATCACATAGGTTTTCATGGATGATTCGTTCAGGCCGCGCAGCGGATGGGTGAACGCATTTTCCCAGAATCTACACTCAATTTCCACAGCTTCCAGCACCAGTCGGTAGATAACTTCAGGTGGAATCTTAAATTTTACTAACTGTAAATATAACCAACAAGCAAATTCAACATGTTGAGATTCATCACGAGCTATTAATTCGTTGCTTAACGTAAGTCCGGGTAGAATTCCACGTCCCTTAAACCAAAAAATAACGTCAAACGCCCCACAAAAAGAATCATCTCGACACAGGCAAAGGCAATTATCCTTTCGCCAAAAGAACGCTCTCGATCGCGGATATACTGCTTTGCTCATTCTGCTTTTTCTACAACATTACGATTAGTAATGATAGCCTGCAGTAAACTCTGTTTTTCTTCAGAATCTTGGTAATAGGTATTGATAAGGAGAGCAAACGTTTTGCTATGTACATTTTCAATGAAAATTTGATAAGCATAAAATGCCCTAACTTCTGGCGATTGAACTTTGCAAAGGAAATTTTCTGCTAAATTCTCCATAACCACACCGTCACTGGCAGCAAAAAAAGCCAGCACGTTTCCCAGAAGATCTTTCTCAAACTGACTCAGCAAAGGCCATTGGCGTGTGTCGTGGGAGAGATTAATTTCCTCTGGTGTCCAGAAGCAAGCGACTGCTTTCTTATACCTCTCCCAAGCTTCATCACACTCAATAGGGAATATAACCAGCCTCTTCCAAGACGCTACTAACACAGGCTCTCTACTTTCTCCATCGTCGTCGCCGCCGTCGTCGTAATAGTCGTTGGCGGTGGTGGTGGTGGTGGTGATGGTGCTAATCTCAGTTTTATTGTTGTTGACGCTAATGTTGTTAGCTTTACTATTACCACATGCCATACCGTCATTAATAACATTATTTTTAGTGGTGTTCGCGTCGTCGCTAGCCATGGCGTGCCCATAATCGCATTAATAATGATATGCTATTTAGCAGGAGCTTATATACGCATCTGTTCTAGATACCGCACCGGGGGGTTCCCGGCTATCCCTTTCACTACTACATCTGCTTGCTTGCTACAGCTCCTCCCTATTTTCTGGATGAGCCTTACCTCTTCCTTTTTTGGTCTATTTAAACGCGAGAGGATTTTTGGAAAATTGGCATTGTTGATCATCGCTTACAAGTCCGATCGAAGCTGATTTGTATTATGCCTGATACATGTGATAAAGTTTGTATTATTGACGAAGGATTATTCCTG